AACTTACAGTGAAGTGTGGGATGAGAAATCAGAGAAAAGGCACTGCAAAGCAATCTATTTATGCTAGCACTGTCACCACTCCATCTTCTTTCTTAATGCAACATAAATGACCTCTATTGGTATGTTCAGTAAATACAAATCAAATTTTCCAAATATTTAAAACAAATAGGAACAAACATGTCACAAACCTTTATTCCATAATCACATACTTCGCATCCCTTGTACAATTCTTCAGGGTTTGTAGAATAAATTTAAAATATAGTGATCAGTCAATATGTGGACTTTCCATGTTAAAATATATTGCATTGCGCAACATTTCCAAGGCCAACATGGTTTTTAAAAAACTCATCCTGTAACTTTATGTTGAGCTTACTTTAAAGAACATCTTTTCAAATGAATTTTTTTTAAACCACTGAGATCAGCAATGCAAGTTGGGCAAAGCTAAGATAAGGAAAAAGAAAACTTACATCCACTTGAAGGCCTCTTGCAATCTATTACTTTCTGTGCATATCAATGAAATTATTGCCAACTTTACTATTATGGGCACTGAATCAGCACCAACTCAGTTTCAATTTCTTAAACTATAACTAGCTCCCTCTAGTTATTGTTTAATAAATATAAAGGACTACGTGCAGTAAGTATAAGGTGTTACTTTAAAACTAAAAAAATATATATTTTGAAATCCTTATCATTATAGCTTATTGTCAAAATGAATCACATTTTATATCCAAGCATCCAGCAGACCTTTTTCTTTTTTCAAAACTGTAAGGTATAACTTTAGTCAATCAAGCTATATTTAATTTCACTGAATCACTGAATGCTATCATCAGTTTTGACTCAGGGCATTGCCTCCTCCATGGAAGTTGGAGACTTGTTAAACATGGAATGCAAGAGTGGCATTTATTCTCTTACCCAACCAGGTCTAATCTATTCCTCTATAATAAGGAGACACGGGAAATAAAAGAACCCTTTAAAGGAAAGACTGTGAAATATTTCCTTCGTCCTTAAGTTTGGATAGTGAGTTTGCCATCTCTATTCAGGTGTATTTGAAGCCGCTCTGATTAGGGAAGTGCCTGAACTTTGGTGACTCCTTTTTGGAGAAAAGAGGAGCCATTTTTCCTGAATTCTTTTTTCTCCCCCACAGCTCCAGAATTTTCCCAACCTCATACTCCTGAGCAGATTATAAGAATGTATTAGAAGGTAAAGAACAAGAAGACCTTGGTGAAAGTTGCCACTTCTAAGAGAGAGTATTCCTTTTTATAGATTTCCATTCAAGCGAACTCTGGATCCTCCATTTAGTAGTATATTTGTGCATGCCTGATGACATTGCACATATAGAGTAAGAAACCATTCTTCTTCAAGGAAGCCATCCATTTCAAGGCAACACAGTAAAATTATGGAGAATAAACTACAAACATCTTAGGTCTCTTTTGCAGAATTTGGGGAAGTTATTTTTGCACTTTCCTTCCATACATTGGACTCAGATATTATCATCTGTTTCTTCTCGAAGTGGAAACAAATAATTCATCCTGTAAATTAATGACAGGTATTTTCATTAAGATGTTATAAGGTTAAGGAGAATAATCTCCTTTGGACAGATTAGCTGTATCAGTATATAACAATTCACAGTGGGATCTGGACTTTTTAAAAAACTATTTTGAACTTGGATTCTTCACTGACTTCGTTTCCAGGATCAATCAGCAAAACAAAAATCTGAACATTTTGGGGAAATTTGGATGGTCCCTGTATAAAATTCAGATAGAAAAACTTCCTACCAATCATCTTAATTTGTATAATTCCTTCCTGTAACAACGCATGTCTGATTAATCCACAATTTATTCTGTGATCACTCTGCCAAAAGAAGAAAAACCCCATCATTTGTATTTTTAGAGCAGATGTGTAAATTTATGATTTGGAGATTCAATACCTCAAATTCAGCTGGGAGACTTCTGTATATATGCAGAATGCCCCCACCCATAAACCAAACTGAAAGTCTGAATCAATATTCAAATGGGATTTTGCCCAATTCATAAACCCTAATTCTTAGTCCCCAGAATGCTCATTATGCTTTGAAACATTGTTTTGAAGGAACCACTGCATACGGAACCACATGAAGGAACCACGTGCCTGGGCCTGGGAACCTGAGTGTGTGAAGGGCCCCATTTCCTGGATGACACTGACAGATTATAATGTCTCTTGGCTGCTATTTGTATTTAATTTCTTTTTTGTACTGTGTTTTAATTAATTTTTTTTATGATTGTTTGCTGCCCAGAGTCACTGGTTTGAGATGGGCGGCTATACAAATTGAATAAATAAACAAATAAATTCCAGTATGTAAGCAAGAATATGCTTACATCAAGCAGCCTCATCTTCTTTCCTTCCTATGGATATGTCCATAGCTACAAGAGAAAACTTCTGGCAACATATGAGGTTTTCTCCAGCTTTTAGAGATTGCTAACTTTCCAATTTTCTGGCAAATTAAATCACCTATTATGGTTCTCTGTTACAAAGTTCCAAATAAAATCTATAATCACTTCATACATTTGGTACTAAAATATATTTAAAATCAGATCTACTAGAGTTTAATTTTCATTAAAATTAATAAATAAATGACAATTTTCTATATATCAATAGCCTACTTTATTTGGCCTTCAGATTTCAATTTTATTCTGCCCCTATTAAGCACATCATGGTATTAGAAGCTGAGAGGATAGACAGATATCTAACTGAACAATTTAATTATGGGATTTAGATTTTAAAGTGGCCTAGATTATCCTTTATTGGTTGGGGGCTGTACTTAATATATTTTGGGAGTTCAAATAGTGGGATAATTATGCAAAATAGCTAGACTTATATTATGCCTACAGAAGGGGTCAGATTTTTTTTTTCCTGGATTTGGAGGAGGTGTTTTGGGGATTTTATTATTTTAAAAAACTGTCAAGCCTATTTTAAAACTTTCACTATAAGTTTTATATATAGTTCCCACTTCCAAATAGTAAACATTATTTTTGGCAATTGTGGATGAGCTCTGAGAAGTACAAATAAAAGGGGGAAGCAGGAGTTTATGCAGCCTCCCCTGATTCTATGGGTTGGTTTCAACTCTTTCTATACATTTTACATTTAACAGCCTGTGCAAATATTATGGGTCTGGGGACTTCAGTTCCAGCCAGAAACATTTTGGTGTGACTAGGGTTAAAGAAATGAGGACATAAGCCAGAAAATTAGAAATGGAACTATTCTACAAGGGGGCATTTTTATACAAAATGGAAGTCATTTAAAAACTCTACCATGGATCCTGTATCTGTGCCTTAATGGACAGAGGAAAGAGGAAACACCAAGAGACAAAAAAAGTTTACATAACTGTCAGACTTAATGAAGAGGATGAGATTAGCCACACCTTTTATTACAGAGTTTCTTGTTAGGATCCTTTTCAGAGCACGAAGTTGTAATATGTCAGTTCTTAAGTCAGGGAACAAAGAAGTGTGAAGAAACGTCAAAAGCACTAAATATTGCTCAAACCTTTTGCATAAAGATTAAAGGAAGTATGGTGGGAGAAAGATTTTATACCTCATCTGATTCAAACTCAACTCCTTTGGATGACTGGCTCTGAGAGCTCCTTTGGCTGTATGTTGATGTGGTTGGTAACCTAAGTATTATAGAAAGGAGAAATTATCACTCTTAATGAAAGCATGATGCTAGAAGTCATCAACTATAAACCACATGGGCTCCCAGTTTGTTTCTAGCCCAGTTATAGAATGTCTCTTATCTCTAAACTCCCAACAGATCAGGGTCAAAGTATCAGAAATACCACTGTATCCCAAAGAACTTGGGATTCCAATTTATGATGTGTATTGGCTTTGTTCTGCATGTGACAGTGAAAGAGAAGTTAGGCTGGTATTAAATGAAAGACAGAGTCTTTTCAGCAATAGCTTCAAGAAGGCCTGAAGCATAGCCTCACATAGATTTAGGCATGTTCCCCTGACTTTCAATGCATTCTGAAACCAGATCAACTGGTTCTTCACTATATTTTAAAAAATTACTTTGTTTTGCTCTACTTCAATTTGGGTCTTTGTATGAGAATGATTTTAAAAATAAATATAGCCTTGGAAGCAATTTTGGACATGAGATTGCTCAAGAAACAGTTTAAGTGAACAGACAAAAGGCATAAAAACACAGCAGTGAACTCACACATTATTGCTGTTACAACAGTAACATATGTGAAAAAGGTCTGAAAAACAAATTTGATTTAATGAGATCCCCAGTAATTATTGGCAAGTGTAGTAGTTTTGAAGTGTGTCAGGAAACTGCAGCAAAACTTCAACAGGTGTTCTGGGAAAGAGGGTGTCCTTTATACCAAATAGCTGTTAAATTCAAGTTCACATCATTTATATCAATTTATATCAATTACCTAATGATATAAATTGATACAGATAACATTAATTTGCATGAATTGTCCAGAATAGTTTGAATACCACAGGCTTTTAGTTTGAAGGGATGCTGGGAGACAAATTAAATCTACTGCATTCAAAGTGCACTAAACTGGGGTCTGTTAAATTAAAGTTTTGCTATAGTTAGATAATTGTGAGATGGGGAGGCAAGCAATGCTTCCTTTTGGAAGATCAGCTACTAAGATGAGGCTTTCAGTTTTGGCCACAACCTATTTATTATTTATTTATTTCATTGGATTTATAGGCTGCTCCAATCAAATGACTGAGTGGTGTATATCCCAACATACATAAACCATGCAGAACAGGAATCAAACTGTAACAATATAAAATAGCTATAGCTTTTAACTGATTTATACTTAAGGAGTTTCAGACTGAGTTTTTGAATCGGAACTTCACTGAATAGGACAAATCATTTTTGAAACTGCAGAAGAGTTCTAAAAGTAGCTTCTGTTATGGTCAAAATACTGTCTGCACGCACGCACACAAACATCCATGGCTCTTCTGTTCAATGCAGAGTATTCCCACTGGCATGCCTAACCTTGTGGGAAGGAGCCGTTTCAGCCCATGCGTCTCCAAATGCCTAGGTAGGCCTCTTATAAATAATGCACTGAAGGTAAAATGGTTCTACTAACCTTTGATTTGTAGTAGAGGAAGGGGTAAAAGACACCTCCTCTATATCAGAATCATCATCTTCAATCACCTGGAGGAGACAGAACAAAGGCCCAGAATGCAGCATTTTTAACACATGCACAAGAAAACATCCCTTGGTGGCTGATTCTATCCCTGTTTTTAATTGATATTTGAGTTACCTTCTGTTGGGAAAGTGGCATCTGACTTTTGGAACAGGAACCCCTCTGTTGGGGTTCTAGGCTCAGGGCTCTCACCCTGTTGAGTTTCTATAAGCCCTTGAAAACCTGTCCCCCCACTGCCCCCACGTATTGGGCCAGGATGTTGGAGAAGTCTCTCCTGTAAGGGCTTGGGAATTTTGAAGATGTTTGTCTCAGCTTCATATATATTTTTCATTATTTTGTTTTATGTTTTTAATCCTATTTGTGAATTGGGCAGCTATATAAACTGTTTAAAATAAATAAATAAAATGATACCATGTTTTAAACACATTAGCCCTCTGTTGTATGCCAAGCCTGGTTATTCAATCCAAAAATCAACGTTGTGAGCCTCACCCTTTTCTGTAATGAAACACCTGCTCTCTTTGCAGAGGAAGTATGTTCCTTTCAGCAGAGTCACTTGAAGACACTTCTGACATCTCAGTAACCGCAGTATTCCCAAGCCTTTCCAAGGAAAGAGGAAGCTAGCAGACAGACCTCTTGGCTTTGTAGAAGATTGTGCCTATCTGCTATTGAGCAAATCAGCTTTCCCCAATGAATGTGCTTCAGATGCACTGAAATGGCAATTTGTAGTATTCCCCAACCAGCCTGGAAAAGGCTGTATTAAACATAAAAAAGGGTGGGGGGCAGGGGGTGGGGAATTTGCTGGATTAATATCACGAAATAACTACCAACCTCTGAATAATTCTTGATAGGCATTTTCCGGGAGGGCTGCTGTCTTGACGACTTAAAAGCTAGAAAACATAAGAGTAAGAATGTACAGCAATATCATAAACTTATGACACTTTGAACTAAACTATTGTTAGCACAAAGCACAAAGAATTAAAAACTTTCTGCAAGACCTGCTTTACGATGAGTATTCATACGCAATTTAAAGATGCACATAAATGACAATGGTTGGATTTGCATACTGTGTTTAGTCATGTTTTGTTTAACAACAGTTTACTGAATATGAGCTGACCTACAAAACCAAACAAATTTAATGTCTGTCTACTGTGTGGTGTGAACTACTGTGTTGCATGAACCAGGGAGGTCACTGGCCAGATGAAATAGAAGCTCGTAAAATAAATAGTTACCGTGTAAAAAATAAAGTTCATTTAGCACAGATGAGCTTTAAATTAGTCGGCTAAGTAGGATGTGGAAAAACGTGTAGATTGACATTTTAATGGAAAAGTGAAAACTATGATTTACCCCATTATTTAAAAAAAAATCTTTATAGATACCCAATGTGGGATTGTAAATTGCAACAAGTTCTTTTGATTGATGGACAAGTTCTGAATATTTAAAGTCAAATACAATTGCTTATCCATGGTTAAAATGTATGCTGATTCAAAATATAAACACAGTTAAGGTTAACTGGAGTTAGCTGTTAACAAGGATATGTAAGTCTGATTTCTAAAACATATTTGACATTGAATCCTAGTTAGCTTTAAACTTTACAGTGGAGCTGCACAGTAGTATTAGTCTTGTCCAATACATTTCTACCCACACTACTATGGTTTTTAATTCTGTGGCTTGAAATGTTTAAGCTATTCCTTCATGTGAAATATCTGGAATTGGACACTTGTAGAAGTCAACTTGTATATTTCAGCTGTAATGGAAGAAGTATCTCTGAGATATTCCCACAAGCTTCATTTAACTAAAGCAATTTCTAAAAACTGAATGTATTTTCAGCTGGTACTGCTTTTTAATGGTTTTCCAGAGGGCAGCTAAATCTCTTCACGCAGTATATAAAGAAAGATGCTGAAGGGCGAAGAGGCCTTAATAGGTAGCATCCAAGTACTCTGTAGACAGAAATGCCAATGCCTCTTGATGCAGGGGCCAGGTTTCAGAATTGCTAGCTCTACAAAAGAAGCAGTGATTTATTGTGAACAACTATTAGACTAAAGACACGATTCAATTCCTATTCCAAAATAAGGGACTTATTTTCAAGTCTGTAATGATGTTCACCATATAAGTAGTGGCTATATAAATGTGACATATAAATGGATAAATAAATAAGTTGTTTGCTGCAGTGAAGTATCACTATCATCTCTCCGAAAATAGCAAGTCAAAGACATATTGTTTCCTTCAGGTATTATAAAAATGTCTACTTTACTTTAAACAAGTGCGTCCATGCAACGGAGGGGTTCGTCTCCATTTTGAACCTACCATCCCAAATCAACATATTTTTTGTAGGAGTAGTTACAGGCTTATATGTTCTGCCACTGCTTGTCTGATCACGGCCAGTACTTCCTATGTAAATAATACAACAGAGAGTCAGAAATTTACATTTTCTCACTTCTTCACCAATTACTAAGCCTTTATGGCAGTGTTATCCAACTGGTTTATGCAGACTGCAACGTCTGTTAAGGACCAACGCAGAATTGGCAACATGGTGCTGGTGGACACTTAGTACACATGTACCTGCATAGATAATATCACTGGCCTTCAAAATTATTTATTTCATTTAATGAAAATAATTTTGTTTTAATTTTAAAAATAAAGCACCCTAAATTGCATGAAATTGACAAAAGCATCTAAGGCTTGGTCATATCCTGAGATTATGGCCATTAAAAAAAACAACAACTGTTTTTAGCAAGACCACATATAAGCGCCCTCCTGGATCACAACTGTTCCCCAAAAGACACTGGAGTGGACAGATCCTGGTAGATGACAAGATTCTAACCTCTCACTTTCAGGCTACTATAGATGGGTTTAAATGTAGCAATATACCTTAGTTTATTTTACAAATGTAAAGATAAGCTTTCTGAAAAGCTAGAATCTGAAAATATAGTTCTAAAGGCTGTGATTCCAAAAGCTGTTTGAACTGGTGGAATCCAAAAGGATGGTTTGCCTCCTTCCTTTAAAAAGCAACTTGCCATAAAATGCAACTTGCCATTTGGCAGAGTGGTGTTCTGTGAGGAGCAATGGTCACCTAGCCCTCTTTAATTATAAATTTCTCCAGATCTTGCCTTTCTCTTCCTTTACTCAATAGGTGTATTTTCCTACATGCTTCTCTGTGTAACAGCTAGACTGGGTGGGTGGAATCAAATCAGCTGAACAATTCCTGCTTCTCAGAACCCAAAAAAACATATTTGCAGGATGTGCAGCAGAAGAGAATAATCACTCTTCTGATACAGCTGATTTCTCACACTGCTTTCAAGACATTAAGTTAGCATATGGCAGTAGCAGACTGACTATAAAACAGGTGGAAAATACAGCAATTTAGTAAGGAGATAACTAGAATTCTCCCTTTGCTCCTTAATGGTCACAAGGAAAGGATTTTTCCCAATCTTGTGGGCATAAATCACCTGAAAGTAACATCCTTCAAGAGTTCTCTCACAGCCATGTATCTCTGGAAACCAGATGCTAGAGAACACGAACAAGTCCTGTCTGTGGGTTTCGCAGAAGGATCTGGCCTGCTATTCTGACACAGGATTTCCATTTTCTCTGGCACAACTATTCTCAGGCCTTGGTTTTGACATAAAACAGCAGCCGCCACTGGGATATAGCGATTAAGGTGCTGAACTACAACTGACAGAGTGCAATATACATTGATTTGGCATCTACAGGAAAAGCTGGATGTAAATCTAATGAACGGATGAATAAGCCAACAATCAACCACATCAGTTTTGTAGCAACTGCAACAAGATGGAAAGAAACTAGCCTCCTCTTCCTCGCTGAGATGCCCCCCTGGCTGAGATGTTCTGTCCTCCTCTGCCTCTTGCCCGACCTCTCCTTCTACCCCGGCTGGGAGCTAAAGAGTCCTCTGACTCATCATTGGCTCTTTGGTCAGAGGTGGCAACATCCATGAGGTCCTCATCACTCATCACTGAAGCATGATCAGTTCCCTGAGATCTGGCCTTGGCCCTGTTTATAGCCTGAGAGAAAGGAAAGCAAGCATGTTAAGAAACAAAGGAGAGTTTCACTCGACTTTGAAAGCATTCCTCCATGCGTGGACTGGAAATTACCAAAGGAGTGGAAGAAAATGTTTACTGCTGAATAAATCAGTTGTCTTAAATCTGAAAGGGGGAAAACAGGAGAGCAAAACAGTGTGTAATGTTTGATTTAAAACAGAGGAAACTACTTTGTCTACATTTCTTTAAGCACAGAGTTAGGTAAATATGAGTCTCATCTTATTCCTTTTCAGTTTTCAGCCTACCTCACGAACTTCCTCATCCTCTTCCACCATGTTCTTTTTTCTTGATTCTCTGAAGTGTTGCACCTGTATTGAAATGGAACAGTCACTGAATATATTCAGATGAAATAAGAAATCATGCGTAATGCAGCTTGTTTCCTTGCTCACACAGAAGGAAGGAAAAATGGTAGCTGAAATTCAAGTATATTCTTGTATATTAAAAAGGATTTGACCCTCTGAATGTGGCCAAAAGTAACTCAGATAAAAGTGAAAGCAGCTAGTCCATTAATCTTCCTTGTTGTGATGTGACATTTGTAACATTCAATTCTTTATGTTCGGGAAGAATAAATCATTCCATACAAACCTCTTCATCAATTTTTGCTTCTTCTGCATCTATATGCTTCTCCTTCAGAAATCGCTGGGTCTTTTCTAACTGGAACTTCACCAATTCTTCAATAGCATCCTTCTCCTCCTTGTCTACAAATTCTTGCACGGCTTCGCCCATACCCCTCTCAGTCAGAAGAGAAAGCTGTACTTTCTTGGACACATACACAAACAGCCAGTTTAAGTCAATTTTATATAGGTTTATATATTAACCAGACAAAAGAAAATATGCTTGACATGAGCACAGGCAAGATTAGTTTTAACTAAGATTTAGTTATTTATTAGTTTTAACTTCTGTTTCAACTTAATTACAAAAGCTTAACTTGTAACTTATTTATTGATTTATTAAATCAATTTGTATAGCTGCCCATCTCACCACAGGCAGCTCTGGGCGGCATACAACAAAGCTAAAAACAGTAAAATACATTAAAAATATATAAAACAGAGAATAAAAGGAAGTCAAAAATAAGGGACCCACCTCACTAATTCCACCTTAGCTACAAAAAGTTACAACTTTTGTTGTAACTTAACTACAAAAGAGCACATGCTACAAAAGTTAGTTTCCATTGGCCCAGATATAAGGTATATCAAGGTATGGTTTGCACTTTCTATAGTATGGCTGACTCCAAACTCTGACTGTATCCTAGATGTACAAGCAAATCGTACTGTATTAACCAAAAATCCCCAAATAATTTTTAAAAGGCTTTACATCCAGATTGTTTATTTGAATATCAAACCACAAACTGCCCACAACTTAAATGTTTAAATTCAAATCATGGAATTCAAGCCTAGTTTGATGACTATTTCTAAACTTAGTCATAAATACTGGAAAAATATGTTTACCTTCTCTGCTGTTTGGAAATATTGCTTTACTAAGTCCTCCACCCTCAGAGTTGTTCCCTCAGCTGTAGGCTTGTGGTCCAGTTTTCTAAAGCTAACCTCATCTTCTAAAAAAATCCAAACAAATACAAAATACATTTTAATCCATTTTAAGAAAATGTTTACTATTCCAAAGAATTACTATCAAAAGATAAAATGCATAGCTAAAGAGTTTTAAAAAAATCAGGTACTGTGTGTATATGTTATCTGACAGTCACACAGAAAATATGTAATGTTTTATTTTAAACATTTAGGGAATGGTAAAAACAGTTTTTGAACAGGTGTAGATTTTTCATGGAAAACTGAAAGTCCTGCATTTTAGAAATACAGATGGAAAGATAAAATAAATAATGGTTTTCAGCAGTAAAACAAAGCTGCATTAAAAATAATACTGGTTCTTACTACAGATTTTCTACCTTTATATTCCCTTCACTATTCAGTGTTACTGAATACGTGGGTCTTTACTTGATTGCTTAAACTGCATCATTAAGAAACTTCAGTCTCAGAATAGTTAACTATTTCTTCAAAAATGATTCATTTGTTTTAACTTTTCATTTGCATTTCTTCAAAATACAAAGACAATTGTTCAATGTAATAAGGACTGAATTTTAAAAGGGCCCATTAAAAACAAAAAAGTCTCTGTTTTTTCTTAAATACCATTGTAATGATAATTCTTTGGATCAATTTCATTTCAAATTATCCGGAATGTTTTTGAGATCCATATACTCTTAAGCAAACCTCACTGGGTTCATTAAACCTTTACAGAATGTTTGTCAGCTATTATTAATCTCCTTTTTAAAGCCTTGGCATATTTCTCAATATCATCTAAGTTACTTCAGAAGCACAATGCTTTGAACAAGGTGATTTAATAATGTTGGAACCATCAATCAAACAAGGACTAGCAATCTGCTAGTACTAAAGAACACCCCACCATTTCATCTTGCATAAGTGGAAAAGAATGCCTTGCACATAATTATTCTTCCTATTTCTTTATCAAAAGGAATGCAATCCATGGGCTAGAATCAGCTGTAATGAAAATGTACTGTAATTACATATATGAACACATCTTTCAAAGGAATGTTAAATACAGGACAATGAATTAAACTTCAGGTATAGTTAAAAGGATTCTGGGCCTTACCAGGTGATTTTAGGTAAGGATAAGGGTTTATCACAAAAGACTATTGCAATCTATAGAAATGAAATAAGCTGGGGTACTGTGAAAAAGAACATCATCAGAACAAAACATCTATTTTTATGAAGAAACATATTAATAGCAACAACTCAGCACATGGAAAAGGAGAATAAATACAAGAAGTGACAAACATGGAAGTGGGAGATTGAAGAAGGACCAGCATCAGTGTAAGGAAATATCTGACAGCATGAAGATGACAGAAATAATGTAGTGGGGGAAGCCAGAGAATAAGTCAAGGAATAAAACCATGGGGAACAAGTAATGTGCCTTAAACTAAGTTTTGAGAATATTAAAAAAAAATGAAAGGAACATAACAGGACTGCCTCTTCACGTCTGAGATCAAAAGCCAAGCAAATCTATCGATCAAGAAGTGGATAGCTACTGATCGTACACATGAGTTTCTTATTGTCTACATTCTGAATGTGTCTTCAACATGGTTAATATGAATAGTAAGCATTACATCTTTCAGTTCAGTTATATGCAATACATTGTTAAATAAAATTAATCTGGTTCTGTATTATATTCATATAGCAAGTGAGACACAATGAATTAGTAAATGCTTGTTCTGAACAATTATAAAATTATATTCTTAGATTGTTAGGCATTAAGCCCTATAGCAGCCCCTCCAAATTCTACAGAATTACAAAACCCCTTGACTGTAATGGGATTCTTATTTGAAAATTTTGCATAGAAGATGGAGGAGGAGGAGAAGACAGACAGGCTTTCTGGTCCAAGTGGTTCTGAAGGGAATCAATTTGTATTTGATTCAATATTTTTTTTTAAATCGGAAGCTCTATACTAATGTTTCAAATAATTAAATAAAACCCATGCTAAACAGATGGTCAGGTTAGAAATAATGATTGGGAGCAACATAATATCTTGCTTTCAATATCATGTTTATAAATTCACATCATTGTGCATTTAGAGGACTATGCTACATGAAAAATAGATACTCTTTTTAATGAGTTTGGTCAGAAATTTTTGGAGTTGTATTAAAACTATTTCATAGGTCATTATATTTATTCTCCACCCCAACCCGCCCTGCATACAGACACATTTTTTTCCACAGATTTACAAGGCCCTAATCTTTTTCAGAGGTGAGCACATCATATACCTTTTTTTTTTTTACTGGCATCAATGTGAGAAGAAATAATTTTCCACACAAGACAGACAAACTTCTATGGATAATATTATTTTTCCTAGTGACAATACCTACTACAAAAAACTTGGAAACTATTTACCATTTTTCTCTTTTTGCTCCCGATGCCTGAAAAAATGTATGATATCTTTCGGATTAGCCACCCTATCCAAGTATTTCTGGCTGAAACGAACTATACTGAAAGGTTCGAAGCCTCCACTGTAATCTACCTTCAAATCAAATAAGATAAAGTATGAGAGATGTGGGAATTGGCAATTAGACATCTGAAAACAATTAAAAATTCATCGGTTGAGTTTGATGTTCTGATGAATATTTCACTAAGTTCATATCAGTATTGTAGCACATCCTGTCTACTGTTAATAATTCATAGGAACACCATGTACCAACAGCAGGCACATCTGCAAATATATTCAACTTTAATTATCATGCATCTTCAAACAGCCCAGCAGCTTATAAAATTAGTTCCTGCAAGGTCTCAACCCCCGTCTCTAAGGCTGCTACTTAATTAAGCAAAACTAAAGCCTTAAGAGATACATTAAACATGAAGAATGTTTAAAAACCAACCCATACTTGAAAAGTTACCGCATATTAAATGTGGGTTACATGGCTAAATGAAACACTAGGTAGAAGACTTCTGATTTAAGGACCCCATTCTTACTCGTAATCTTATCAGAGGCTTCTCTGGTTGCTTGGGATTTCTGAGATGTTCTCTTTCTGAGTTTTCCAGCATCATTTCAACCTTTAAGAAACGGACATAATTCACTAAATGCAAAATCTGTCCTCCTACCAGGTATCAATATATGCATAATATATATTAAAGCAAACAACTTTTTAATTTAAGTTTTTTAGAAAGCTTTTTTTTCCTTCTGCCACGTATCTATAGGACTTAAGTCAAAACTACGTAAATGGGAAGCTACAACACTGATTTCCAATTAAAACAGTATGTCCAAACACAGAACAGTATTTTTATAATACTATGAAAGCCACAGCAACATTAATATAGGCAACGTAGCCTGTTTGTATTTACTGGAATCTCATCTTCTCATTTGGTAGGAATAGACAGCACCCCAACTATCTAGTCTACACTCAGAGAAATGCAAAGAAAAGTGTTGCCAAAAGATTTTAAAAGGCCTACGATAGAAAATATTAACAAGACTATGTTAGTATTTGGAACTGTGGAAGAAGAGAAGATGAATCATAGAAATCTCTCATATCTAGTTGTGTTTTACCCAGGAAAATTACTGTATATTCTTATATAGAGCATATATTATATATGTTTATATATATAATAATACATAATATATAATTACAGTGGTACCTCAGGATACGAACGCCTCTACTAACGAACATTTCGGGTTACGACCAACTCGGGATACGCCCAGAGTCACGGAACGGAT